CTTCGTATGACTTATTTTCTATAGATCTGACTTAACAAAACTTAAATAGCTCAAAGAACAAGTGTAAAAACAGCACTTTTTTTGAACCGATCGTCATGTTATATAACTTAAATTGAAACCGCGAATGTCAACTACAAAACAGCAATTTTTTCATACTTAAAACAAACATTACTTCAAAAAATTAAGAGAAATACAAAGAAAATTAATCAGACAGCAAATACTTTCGGAACTTCCCTTGTTAAGATGCAAAAAAGACAATTTTCTGGACCGGAAACTTACTACCCGGCATATCACCGGAAATAGTAGCCATTTTGTCAACAAACCACGCGCGCAAAGCATAAAGGGATACTACTGATATCTCCTCTGCCGCGAGGCAAGGGATCAATGACGTAATACCACAGGAAACCCGCAGCGCGATGCGATTCGATAACATAATATAAAAGCKTGCGCATTMGTTCTTTTCTTTCTCTCAAGCAATAGTTGGGTAGCCTATGATACCATCGAGTCGATTTTCCATGGACCGACGCAGGGTTCCCGCGCGTACGCACGTTTCCGTCCTGGAGTGCGTGTACCACCACAGGAAACCCATACTCCGCTCGAAAAGGAAAAAAACCGCCAAATATTTGTTGAAAAATCGAAATTTTTTCCTTACATATTTATATTCCATATTGATAATATTAGAACAATTAATCACAAGCAAAAAAATCCACAGAAGAGCGAAATAGCAGCACAGAAATATTCCCGCCAATTTTGTCATAACTTCGACGCGTCCGCACATCCGGGACATCGATTTGCGAAGATGCAATTTAGCAATTTAGGCCCATCTTAAAAGTGATATAAGAAAAAAGGATTTTACTTTGATATTTCGACAACAAGAAAGAGATGATGCTGTATTGGAAATACTTCAATAATATGGACCAATATGGGAAAAAGCAGCGATCTATGGGAAGTTCTTTTGTCGACTAAAAGTGTGGACATTTTGAAACCAAGACCATGCTAACAGTTAATTAGATTAAGAGAGATTAAAAACAAAGAATCGACAGTCTTGAATGACTTAATAAATTGATGAAACCTATGCTTGAAACAAGTATGGTTCTGTTGAAGATGACCTTTGAACGATAATTTATCGGAAGTTCGATAATGAAGGTAAAAAACATTTTTGTATACAGTTTTCTGTGATATGTGAAGTTCGAGTAGTCCGGATTCAAACATCGATTATTGGTCATTATTGAAACAATGTTGATTATTGTAAGCTTATGTAGACTACTTTTTGCCGAGAAGCTTTCAGTTCACTTTAAATCAATTGACCTTTACAGTCAACATTAGTACGAACTAAATTCTCATAAACATACTCTTTCTTACGCTAAAATTAATAAATATTTATCGAAAAAGTCAAAAGAATATGAGAAATCGAGCTTCGAAAGTAGTAAAAATCCCGTCCGCCATTAATCGGTTTGATATCTGAGCCCCAAATACTAAAGACTGCGGTATCTCCCGAGACGAAAGTCAGTGACGTCACTGACTCAACGCGTGACTTCTTGATTCGATGTTTGTATAAGAAAGTTACTATGAAATGGAGAGTGAAAATGAAGCAAACCGCTATGAAGATGACTCTGATTCTTCAAATGAGAGTTTCTTCTCAGCATCTGAAAACCTGTGACCTCATGATGACAGTGTTGAACCGCTTGAAGAGGTGACAGAGAACGAAAGGACAGTAGCTAAAGAAGAAGAGGATGAGAACCTGATGCTGAGTCGCAGGAAACTTCCCAAGCATGGTCGGATGGATTTGTCAGGCGTTTTTTTTTTTTTTTTTAACCATTGCACTCAGAGTAGATTAGTAAGCATTGTTTTTTGCTCGACTTTATTTTTTGGATTGGACTAGTAGCAGAAATGGCAAAAATTTTTTATCCATTTTGAATTGCTCAAATGATTGTCAAAACGCACTAAAGAATGTATTCTCGAATGACTATGATTGTCCAAACGCGCTTTAGATTGCCTATGTTTATGCTAATAACACTAATGAAGTTTCATTTTTGGTTGAATGATTGTCAATAAATGCAACCGTTTGTCAATTGTTGCTATTGAATTTTCATTGTGCGCACATGAAACAACGTTCCACCCAAATGATTGTCCAGTCGTTCAGTTGATTGTCTATTGATACTGTTGAATGCTCGCGCGTATTTAAATATCGCTATTGAAAGTCGTTTCGCGCCAATGATGTTGCTTACGGTGTTCAAGAAAGTACAATAAAAGTTATTGAAGCATCGCTTGGCACAAATGAGTGTACGTTTTACGCTAATGAACAGCAAAAAGTACTTTGATTAGACTGGATTTGCATTCTACTGTGATTTTGGTGAATACTCCAGTTTCGAATTCATAGCGAATAACCGCTGCTTTATTTGACAACAGATTCTCTTGCGCAAAGACCTTACAAACACAAAAGAGAGCACGAGAAAATGTCGTTATAACAATAGACTTGAAAATTTGCATTTTCCCCGAGTTGAGATTATCCCTGTATTCCCATAAGACCTAAGGTATGAGTAGGGTTAGCCTTAACTCGGAGAAAATGTAGATTCTTAGCGCTCTATTGTATTAACAACATTTTCTCGTGCTTTCTTTTGTCTTTGGTAAGTTCTTTGCGTAATCTGCTGTCAAGTAAAACAGCGGTTATTCGCTTTGAATTCGAAACTGGAGTATTTGACTCCCGGACATACAGACGAATTATTTTTCTATATTTTTCTTGGGTTCTGTGCTTGTATGTAGTCGTATGTTACTCGTATGTAACCTGTATGTAGGCGTATGTAACCTGTATGGAGTCGTATGTTATTCGTATGTACTCGTATATTACCATATGTTAATTTTAGACCAAATCCGGGTAAAACCAATTTTGCTCAAAAACTCAAATTCTTCGCCTCCTCCTTTATTTTTTCACAGTTTTCCTTCTTTCATCAATGTTGGGTCTTGTTTTGGATGCTTTTGTACTATGGTAACACGCTCAATGACAACATTGCATTTAGGGGATCAGGGGGGATGAAATTGTCTACCTTGAAAACGTAGGTGCGCGAGGATTACGACTTCTGACTTGGGGGACTGGGGTTACGTAGATTTTTGTAGTTGGTACGATTCTCATCACGGTTCTCGCTAAGAAAATTGGCTATTTAAACCTCTGTTTCCTATAATTTTCAGCAAGCAAGCATAGGCTTTAAGCGCAAAATAACTTCAAATACTAATTTTGAATACATTTAAGCAGAAACTCCGACGGTTCTCACTTTATAAGTTAAACTAAGAGGTAAATGTTAACGCCATTTTTTAGTTGTTTAAGTGAGAACCGTTGTGAATCCACTATTTCTTAGCTATTTACGTTAAATATTCTCTGCTGGTAACGACTCTCCTATTTTCGTATTGATTAAGTATGGATCAAGGATTTTCAGTTTTGTTAGTGAGAAACGTCGACGGCGAATTTAGAACCGTCAAACATATCGTAAAATAGTTAGTACTTAGAATAAAATTCGCGAACATTCTGCATAGCAYTGCTTACTAGTTTGTTTTAAATGCATGATTTCTTTAAATAGTCCACTTTTGTTTGGTTATTTGACTATAGTTTGCAGAAAAAGATACAGAATAAGCCAAATTCTATAATGACACAGGGAGCCCAAGTCGATATACACTGAGCCTTTTTGTCCAATAGCGTTGAAAAATGTTCCTTTTACAGACTTTTTGTACACATGTATATGCCAAGGAACGTTCAGAAATAGTGATATATTAACTATCAAGTTTGTGTGTTTTCTAAGCAGTTTTGTGTGTAYAAATGGTTACATGAAGTCATTTCCAAGTCGACATTTCAAAATGTCGACTCTTTCATTGATAAAGACACCGAATCGAAAGATGATACCGATATCATGTTATGCGCAGTATATCCCTACAAATGTGACAACATGGATATAATTCAAATTATCAAGTTTCTTCTCAGACAATCGTTGCCAAAATACCTTGGACCGTAGAATTCATTGTCTCCAGACTCRCATTTTCTCCTTTATTTTTTCAGTTTTCCCCCTTGGCCCCCTTTCATCAATGTTGGGTCTTGTTTTGGATGCTTGYGTACTATGGTAACAYGMTSAATGACAACATTGCATTTAGGGGGTCAGGGGGGATGAAATTGTGTGCGGGTGTTGCTTAAAATGAGGAAATTTGCTGGAATGGTCCAAGGATTTTGTCAACGATATATATGATATATGTATATTAGCCATTACAGCATTATATTGTAAATCTTTCAGATGTTAAACCSTCAGGCAGCAATGGTAGTGTGAACGGGACAGGAGATGGAGGTAGCTTTGGAGTTGGGAGTAGTGCCATGGGTACTGGAGCTGGATTAGGGGGTCTATTTGCAGGTGGAATACCGAAATTAAAGCCTGCTGGCGAAAGAAGACCTGCAGGATCAGGAGGTGAGTGACTAGAAGTGACTAATTGAAGGGTCGGCTGCGAAAACGGCCAAAGTGACGGTTTCGACGGCCATCTTGGACCGGTAGGCATAGTGTCRCAAAATAACAAGGAATGACCGGGAAATCGATGTCAAATAATTCTCGCTGAATTCAAATTCGGAAAGAATTATCAATTGCAATCGTTAGAAAAAAAGGAGTTAACTGGCCAAATTTGAAGGGCGTACTTGATCTATGGAGCGAGTTAACTCATTTTTAGTTCTCCATACATTTCATTGTAATTTCAATACATTTCGTTGTAATTTCCGGGATCATCATCGCGTGACGCGCGTGAAAAATACAAAGAAGTGTATTGAGAACTAAAAATAAATTTTCTCGCTCCCTATATGAAGGACATCCTTCAAATTTGCCCAGTCAACTCCTTTTTGTAGTATCTAAAGTTTGCAATTGATAATTCTTTCCGAATTTGAATTCAGCGAGAATTATTTGACATCGATTTCCCGGTCATTCCTTGTTATTTTGCGACACTTTGGCTACCGGTCCAGGATGGTCGCCAAAACCGTCACCTCATCTTTTGAAAAAAAAAATCACTTCAATCACTTATTGTCAGTCTAAATAATCTTATTTAGTACTTATTTCTCCTGATTTCTTTCTAAAAAGAGCAAAAAAAGACCCATAGTTACGGACTTCTTTGGCTTGACAACTGATCGCTAGACCGTAAAAATATCCTAGATTTGCATATTCCAGCTAAACTCGTGACTTTGACAGTTGTTTTTTTTTTTTGGTTCGAAGCTGTACTGCAAGAAGTCGGGAAATGCGAGAAATAATTATTTATTTATTTTTTATTTTTTTATTAAAATAATAAATGAGAATGAGAAATTATTTTTATTAGGAGCCAAAGGAAATGCACTAAAACCACCGGGATTCAAGACGCCTAACCCATCTGGTGCTCCACGAATTTGCGACACACCTATTCCCTCGCCACAGTCTTCTGGTCTCCCAAGATTTAGTGGCCCACCTGCTCCATTTAGTGGACCTCTAGGAATATCCAAAAAAGGGGATCCTTTGTCTAAGGCTCCTACAGCAGGTGTACCTCCTCCTCCACCTGCCAGGTCAAATGAAAAAGTGTCAAACTCAGTTCGAGGACCTACAAATCAGCCCCCTAGCAAATCTAATGGCACTCCGCCGCCACCTCCACCAGGACGATATGGAAATATGAACGCTCCATCCCTTACAGATAGATCTTCTGGGGTGCCACAACACAACCAATCGAAAGGGGAAAGACCACTGCCACCTCCACCCTCTGGGCAGTCTAGGCCTCTTCCTGCTCCACCACAAAGCGGAAGTGGTGGAAGACCACTTCCTCCTCCACCAGGTAGACCAGGATCAGGAGCACCCCCAACTCCATCTCAAATGAAGAGTCTACCTTCACAACCACCAACACCTCCAGGTTTATCGAAACAGCTGCCTCCACCACCTAAAAGAGCTCTTCAGGGACCACCTCCTCCCCCTTCAAGATTATCCCAGCCAAATCCAGTAAATGATAGTAGACAAGGTCATTCTCCTCCAAGTAGAGGAGGTCAAGCACCCCCTCCACCACCGCCAGTTGGGAAGCCACCGTTATCTGTGAGAAATGGAGCTCCACCTCCTCCAAGCAGAACACCAAACTCAGAAACAATGGTGAGGCCCCCACCTCCACCAAACAGAGCTCCTCTTCAAAAATCAAACCTACCACCACCCCCTCCCCCAACATCATCACGTCCTAGTATATCAAACGGACCATTGCCTGCTGGTTCAAGAAATTCTCTACCTCCACCACCTCTTCCTAGTTYATCTCAAGGTAAATTAAGACAGACTGCACCAGAAGTTCATTAYTAGAACTGTCGATCTCGGTAATTTATCTTGTATTATCTGATGTTTAAGATTTCTTTCGAGTATTCAAAATGTATTCAAGCATTCTACGATACGATAACCACAGTAATCTACAACAGTAATTACTTGAGTTTTGTTTTATTGATTCATGGATATTACCATGTAACTGCATGAATATTTCTTTGATTTTCTCTTTGCCACTGATATTACACTTGAGTGAACAATTTTAAAAAGTCGAGATGRCGGTATGCCCATTGTTAGAAAGCTGGCATCCTTTTTGGCAAGTTCTTGTCAATTAACATGACTTAACTGTTTTTATAGACGATTTAGAGTCAAGATTTAAGTTCAGATCAATAAAGGACCTTCCACTTCCAGAACCATTTACAGATACAATAAAGACATATCCGAGTCAAAACCCTCAGAGATCTAAAACAGGTTTGTTTAAGTCCATCGTAGTTTACAATTCACCGTAAATCTGTCGTGAGTGCTCAACAGTACRTAAGAATTTGCAGAATTAACACTGTTCYACATTTAAAGGCCCACCGTCATTCGAGATCCTTTGCGCGCTTTTATTTTTGTTTTGATTGTCATGATGTCGAGGCTTGCGCTCGCGTTCACTTGTCAAAGTCGGCTGGAAAATGTTTTCAACGAGCATTGAGCAAGAAAATCAAGGGAATGTAATTAATGTAAACGCTTATGGGTCATATTTAGAAGACTCAAGGTCTTCCCAGCTCTTCTGAGGTAAGAAAATCCGACAACTCGGGTATAAGTTGAAATTCACGGCCAACTTATACCCGAGCTATCGGATTTTGTTTTCAAAATGAAAGCTTTGTTTTATGCTCTATTAATAAAAGGTCTGTGATACTAGGTCTGTGAATGAGAAGCACAAAGTAAAGATGATCGATAAACAAGAAAATTTGGACTCAAACTTGGCAAAAACTTACTCTTTAAAATTCCTTTATCCTATATGAATGGAGATGCTTTAAGATTCGACCGTTAAACCGATGGATGGAAACGGATTGAAAATGGATATTCGGAGTCACCTCATTTTCCATATATGAAAAATCTAAAACACGACCGCATTGCATGCTAGTGGACCATGTCCCTTTAACTTTAAAATATACTCGTTATATTTTTCTTTCTAAATTCATTTTATGCAAAGCAAACTTTCTTCTTATAAATCTCTGAGGATAATGCGAATGCAATCTGAATGCTAAATTTCCGCTGCAATAATAAAAGCATTCTAAAAAATGATATGAAAAGATCATACGCAAAATCTATCAAATCGATCGCGGCGATGGTAAAAATATACATTAGCGTAACCTGAACACGGTATTTTCTACGAAGTGGTTATTGTTATATTTACTGTTGCGAGACTTGAAGCCCAAGTACCTTTTTGAATTTAGTCAGAGAGAGTGTCCATGTTTTTATACATGGATCCTAAAATGTTTATCAAAAATAAGCGATTTTCTGAAAAATCGAGTTTTTTGTGAAAACAGCGCTGTTCACGAAATTCTAAAGTTAATTTGCTACTTTATTAATTTTTTGTAAGTATACAACGTGTTGAAATGATAGTAAGTTTTACATTCAATCATGATATTATTTGNAGGGTGATATTTTTTATAAATAGGTCTAAATCCCTTCAAAACCACACACAGCAATGTTAAATAACATCAAGAACACATGATATCAAGGTAAGATGATTTTATTAAAAAAAATTTTGTATGTTCTGCTTGGGTTGCCTGTGGATAAACAAGAAAATTTGGACTCAAACTTGGCAAAAACTTACTCTTTAAAATTCCTTTATCCTATATGAATGGAGATGCTTTAAGATTCGACCGTTAAACCGATGGATGGAAACGGATTGAAAATGGATATTCGGAGTCACCTCATTTTCCATATATGAAAAATCTAAAACACGACCGCATTGCATGCTAGTGGACCATGTCCCTTTAACTTTAAAATATACTCGTTATATTTTTCTTTCTAAATTCATTTTATGCAAAGCAAACTTTCTTCTTATAAATCTCTGAGGATAATGCGAATGCAATCTGAATGCTAAATTTCCGCTGCAATAATAAAAGCATTCTAAAAAATGATATGAAAAGATCATACGCAAAATCTATCAAATCGATCGCGGCGATGGTAAAAATATACATTAGCGTAACCTGAACACGGTATTTTCTACGAAGTGGTTATTGTTATATTTACTGTTGCGAGACTTGAAGCCCAAGTACCTTTTTGAATTTAGTCAGAGAGAGTGTCCATGTTTTTATACATGGATCCTAAAATGTTTATCAAAAATAAGCGATTTTCTGAAAAATCGAGTTTTTTGTGAAAACAGCGCTGTTCACGAAATTCTAAAGTTAATTTGCTACTTTATTAATTTTTTGTAAGTATACAACGTGTTGAAATGATAGTAAGTTTTACATTCAATCATGATATTATTTGTATATACATTAACCTGTTCAAGAATTGTTTCAAACTTTCTTTTCAAGGTCTTTTGTATTTAATAGTACGTTTTTCCTCAGTTTTCAGCTRCATTTTTTCACTTACAAACGTGATCATGTCAATGTAAACGAGCTTAGACTGAGTGCGCTTAAGAAATTGTTACGTCTCCTCTGAGTCAGACATATTGAATATCTTTCTGACACAGGGTTCGCACAGTCTTGAAAAGTCCTTGATTTTGGAGCTAGGTCCTTGAAAAGTCCTTAAATGCAAATTTTCCTTGAAAAGTCCTTGAATTTGGAGTAAAGGTCCTTGGAAATGATAATTTAGTCCTTGAATCAGTCTTGGTTGTTGTGAAGTAATGTTTTAGAGATCAATTTTGCCAAGCTTTGAAGCAAATTGATAATATTTCAATACTTTTAGGAATGTCTGTTGTACTATTGTGCAATACGACGGCAAAGAAATTAATAGAGATTGAGAAAAATATGTTCCAAGAGATAAAGTTCTTAAACAAAGTTGACTACAATGTTTTTATTGTTCTTTTTGGCAAGACACAGGACTAGTAAGTTTATTAACTGTATCTTTCTCTTTGTAATTGGTGTCCTTGAAAATTAATCCTTAAAAAGTCCTTGAAAAGTCCTTGAATTTTATATGTAAAAATCTGTACGAATCCTGTGACATACATAATAAATATATTCTTTATGCGCAGTAGCTCAGTGTATTGCCTGCAGGGATTTGCGCATGACTGTAAAACAAATACAAACAATGAATATTGCCCGTCAGCATGATGGAAATTTGTATGAGCATGCGCTAAAACCGCTTATACACTTCTGTAAATTGCAATCGCAGCTATGATTATTTTGCGATTTGAAATTTAATTGGAGTTAAGAAAAGACAATCATATAAGATAAAATGGTGGGAACTATACCTATTTCTCTCTCTTTACTCCGACGAAGGATTAACATCCGAAACGTCAGTAAGTTATTTCCCATACTTTTTTACGGTGTTAAACTTATCTTCTTTACACAATCATATAAGATACACAGATCAGTCCAAAAATAGTTAGTTCAAATTTACTTTAAGTACATGTAAATAGTGAATATCTTTGGTTTCATTTTTATTGAGATTTATAATATACACAAACAGCAATATTATAATTTGCACAAGACATACAGATTAGATTCTTTATTACATTAAGAGCACAATATTCTTAATAAGCAGGGGTAACTCTTCCTTTTGCAACAAAGAAAAGTGTTGCGGTCGAGTTCAGATTTCGATATAATTGTGTAATTATAATCAGTTAACAACTAATTTCGCTAAAATCGCCAAGATTCAAACAAAATATTTCTGTCAAAATAAGGCTTTGATGACATTAATAACACGATAATTTAAAACTGYATAGCATATAGACTATTCATAATAGAAATTAAAGGCTTACCTGATACTTTATTTGAATTATCGAGGCCGTTACAGTGGATATCAGTAAACAAACCGCCATATTACTAACAAGAGGCCGTTATGCATGAGCATGCGCGCAACCGCTGCGTTATAACGACCATGGGCTCTAGAATACGGGTAGAATAACATTGTAGTAGCTGCGGAAGCTTGGATTCTGAACATAATTGATGTTTTTACTTATCTTCCACATTTTTTCAAACAAAACCAAGTAGATATATTTACAATGCACACGAATATCTTTCAAACTTTATATAAATTACTGTGAGTCTCGGGCTAGATTTATAACACGAAGCCACTTTGTACCGTTAAAATGTAGTGAATTATTTGTGCACACCTTTAGCAATAATAAATTCCGAAGATGTGAATCGATTGCACTGCAATAGAGTATTTCATAACTTATAATGATACAGCTATAGAACTACACATAGATATTTATGATAACTTGATTCAAACAAGCTCATCTCTTCAGCCAAAAGAATGCTAAATCTGTCGTGAGTGCTCAACAGCACGTAAGAATTTGCAGAATTAACACCGTTCCACATTTTTCATAGACAAGAAAACATTATCAAACCATTTGCAAAGCATAAGTCTTGATATTGGTAGCCTTATTCTAATGAGTCCTGGTGGTATATAAAAGGAAAGTAGTATTTCATGTAACAGTTAATAATATTTAAGCGTAAATATTGTACACTTCAAGAAACTGTCTTTCGAACATTTCGAGGTCGATGTTACTAAACGATGCCTAATTATATTACTACATGTGTACATTTACCATTTACTTCATGACCTGCGTTGAATCTTGACCAGCACTCAGCAAAAACTGGAATAGTAGTTGCGTATATAAACCACTGCAGCCTCCATATTGTAAACACAAAGTCATTAATATCAACATTTCTTAAATAAGACTTTAGACGGTCCCAATCAGTCCTATAACGCCAGTGTTTTTCCTCATTGTAGGTTACACTATTTATGAGTGTTCTTGAGTCATGACAGAACATTTCAGGGTCAAAAACAGCCAAAAACATTTTTGGAAATTGTCCTTCGTGTCATTGTAATTTCTCGCTTGAAGTGAATCACTAATGAATTTCAATGAATTTTCAACAGACTGGCGCATGCGCACGCCAAACGGCCCCTTGTTCATATTACTCAYCTTCTCAGTATGTCAGAACAAATAGCTCTTCAAGCACCCAATATCAATATCAACCAGTAGAAGTCGATAAACGACGAAGAATCCATTTTGTAGCAAAGGCGTGTATTTGTAGAAAATAKTGGGGCAAAATTTAAAAGGAAATACCGAAACCACCGCGATAATAATAACTTGATACATCGACTTCAATGAACGAGCAACTGACGCATGCGCACACGAAACTCCCTCATGCTTTTGGAAATCGATATAGAGCGGATTTCGTATGAGTGGGACACCGTTACCGCAC